ACTACTCATTCACCATTAAGGGGCTGTTGCACTGCATGTTGTATTGATATTTAGCTGCAATATCAGTACCTTTTGATCCAATACATCCAGTTAACATTTAATTAGTCACTTTTTATGGCATGACGGTTAATGGCTACATGGGGAGGAAAGATTCAAATTTCAAGGTATTGAAAAGCCACCAATGTTTTTAAAAATATTTGCTTACTTCAACCATAAAATGAAAACATACAAAATAACTTTGAAAAAAAAAACAAAAAAAAAAATTTAATAAAACAGGTTACAAAGCAATCCTCTCAATACATATTAGAAAGTTACAATGCAATCCTCTCAATACATATTAGAAAGTTACAATGCAATCCTCTCAATACATATTAGAAGGTTACAATGCAATCCTCTCAATACATATTAGAAAGTTACAATGCAATCCTCTCAATACATATTAAAAAGTTACAATGCAATCCTCTCAATACATATTAAAAAGTTACAATGCAATCCTCTCAATACATATTAAAAAGTTACAATGCAATCCTCTCAATACATATTAAAAAGTTACAATGCAATCCTCTCAATACATATTAGAAAGTTACAAGGCATTCCTCAAAAATTATTATGGATATAAAGTTGCACACACTGAATTCACTAAGAACTAAAATAGCAGACTATAGTCAAACTCATTTGCATGTTTCTGATAATAAAGTAAAAACTAATACAAAATTACATGGCATGCACCACAAATTCAAAACCATTATGTAAAATATAAATACAGGTAAAGTACTCTTCTCCTGCCGGTGATGTATCAGGCAGGTGGAGCTAGGCCCATATCTTTATCAATTATTCTGCCACTCGGTGGGAGGGCTCAGCCTCACACTGGCCACAAGGATATGTCCTGTTGTGCCATTTATCTTTTTTTTTTCGGGTTGACTGGCTGTAAACTCCGGCAGAAAGTTCTGGGTATTCATCCACTTTAGTCTTGTTCCAGAATGTGAGTGTTTCGTATTCATCTGTTTTATACACATCGACTTATCTGTATGCAGATTGATGGTTCCTTGCCTCTCAGGCAGATGCACTCCGACTTCAAAAGAAGCTCCAAAATAGTCAACTCTTATGACATGCTTGTTGGGGAGGCAATGGGTCTATTCTTGTTGTCCCCATAATGGGGCCCTGAAATTCACACGGGGAGTGCCGTTTGTAATCACATAGGGATGACAGTCTTTTTCCTCTGTTCTTTTCTATCCTTTGCAATCGGTTCAATATCATGGAAGGAATCCAGTCCAGCATTCTTAGCATCTTTTGTGAAATATTCGTCACGTTTTCTCTAGGACTCCCTTATTATCTCAATCCATTTGTGTTCCATTTCAGTGCCTGTTTGTACTATTATCTGTGCACTTCTCAGGGTATTCTGTTTACTTAATTAAACATTATGATTTTCATAAAATTGACAAATAAAGACTAATGCTATTATGGAGAAATGGAATAAATTACATACAACTCATTATTGAAAATTAATGAATGAATCACTCAGTTCAACAATCAGTTTTAATTAATATATAAGGCAATTTCATTATACAGAATAATTCAAGTATTTCTGTTTAGAAAAATACACTCAGGCATTTCATATGAATGTTTACATTAAAACACAGAGGAAATTGATATACAAATCTATATGAATACTGACAGAAAACTAATACAAAGTTCTATATGAACTCTTTATGTTACATAACATCACAGAAGTGCTGGGCTGGTTTCGTATATGACTAGATCAATGTACACAAATATACAGAATTTATTATAATTAAAGAATGTTTAAGTTGGGACATGTCCCTGGACGGAATGATCTTCTTTGTGGAAGATATAAGTTAATACTAACATCAAATATGGAGGAGTGTAGGTATAATGCTGAATTTATTATTACATTAAATAACATTTATTGCTGAAATTCGCACTCAAAAATGTGATAGCATAATGGACGGAAAGTTTTAGTTAAATAACTGCCACGGAAAAAAAAATTGAAAAGATAATACTCTTTAAGTATGTAAACATTTTTCTATAAAAAATAAAAATATATGACAAAATGACATCATCAATTTGTGTGGACTGTGGTAACCTTTTTATAGTGCTCAAATATAATTGTGCTATGTGGTTAAATGGGGTTTGCGGGATATTAAGCTGTTTGATTCTCATCCTTGATATGGTAATCCTACAAACTACAATCTTGCAGGGGGAAACTTAAATAATAATAAGTAGATTTGCAGCTATGTCTCGCCATCGTTTTAGAGGTGTCCGTGGCGAAGTGGTCAAGCCAGTCAGCAGCACGCTCTGAAGGTCATGGGTTTGATTCTCAGAGGTGTCATTCAGTTAAGAAGTTAGTTAGGGATCATTGTTTTAGTGTCTCTTCTATAGGACAATGTCTGCATAGCCATTATTTTCTGCATCTCCAGGATTGGGGCAGTTTTCATGGATCCTGCGATGAGTCTAAGCGCTTGATTTGGCACTCTATCTAACGATTGTAGATGGGAATTAGCAGCTGTTAACCAAGCTGTTGCACCAAACTCTAAGTGGGGTCTTGAAGCCTTTTGCTCGCTTGAGAATCAGCTGTACGCACATGTCGTAATTGTAACCAACTCACAGAGCAGGTTGAGAAAGGTGGAGACCAGTATGCTCCGTGAAGAGTGGCAAGCATTGCTTCAGGTCCGAGGTAGTTAGCATCCTTTGGATATTTTCCCCAGGAAATGCCGGTGTGTTAGGAAATGAACAGGCAGATAAACTGTCTGGTTCTGACCAAGTTGGTGGTGAACGGATGCGTGACAAGCTAGATGTTGTAAGAGCCCTTGGGGGGGGGGGGGAGTAAACAGTGCTGAAGCACAGATGGAGTGCTGAAGCACAGATGAAGTGCTGAAGCATAGATGAAGTGCTGAAGCATAGATGAAGTGCTGAAGCATAGATGAAGTGCTGAAGCATAGATGAAGTGCCGAAGCATAGATGAAGTGCTGAAGCATAGATGAAGTGCTGAAGCACAGATGAAGTGCTGAAGCACAGATGGAGTGCTGAAGCACAGATGAAGTGCTGAAACACAGATGGAGTGCTGAAGCACAGATGAAGTGCTGAAGCATAGATGAAGTGCTGAAGCACAGATGGAGTGCTGAAGCACAGATGAAGTGCTGAAGCATAGATGAAGTGCTGAAGCATAGATGAAGTGCTGAAGCACAGATGAAGTGCTGAAGCACAGATGGAGTGCTGAAGCATAGATGGAGTGCTGAAGCACAGATGAAGTGCTGAAGCACAGATGAAGTGCGGAAGCACAGATGAAGTGCTGAAGCACAGATGGATCATCATGGTCTGAAAAGAATGGTGCTGCGAGGAGTGACCAGGGGATCTGGTCGATGATTAGCACTCAAGGGAAAGGTAAGACGGATATACAATCAGACTGCTATTGGTACCACTTGGATTGGAACTCTGCGCCCAATGCTGAAGATGGGGGTGGGAACTAAAGGGAATGGCCCAAGTACAGTGATGATAATTATTAATTAAACATTAGGCAAACGGCGAATAATTTCTGTAGACACATTCAACTGATTCGGGTGACGTTGAACTGAAGCTAGAGGTTGGTCGTCGGAACGCCACATATATTAGCCCACATAGGCACACGGTCGATTAATCCAGGGATCTGGCCTACGGTTGTAAATGAGAAAGGTAATTTCAACAATCCTCAGATAAACGCGGCACTAATTAGCAGGGTATGGCCGAAAATATATAATAATCAAGGTTATTCGAAACGAAATCTCGGCTGATCAATACATACACGTACACTGAGTGAGTCGAAGCTTTGAACCAATGAGCGTATCGATGTGAACAAAGCCAGAATAATCCGGCGATTTCTGAAAAGCTGTGGCCTCCTTAGAATTCAAAGTTGTCCTCATTAGTCGCGGGTGCAGTGACGAAAGTAATGGTGTGTTTAAGAGTAACTTTCCTTTAAAAAATGTCAGTTGCCTCCGTATCTCATCATCATCGTATGGCAGGTCTTTTGCAGAACGTCGTCCTGAAAGAAATTATGTCGCTCGCCAGCTCTCCCAATTTGTGCACCCTTGTATTTAAAAAAAATCACTTATATCCTGTGCCCACCTTCGTGGTGGTAAACTCGTGCCCCTCCTCTATAGTACCATGCCTTCTATTTTTATTATTCAATCTGCCTTGTGGCTTGATATTGCCAAAATGTTTCAGCTTCTGGCACAACTGCTGCTTGCTAGCCAAACTGCTCACATTGTAAGAGAAAACAAGAATAAACCCTCTGCCTTTCCAACAAGCATGTCGTATGAGTCAACTAACTGGGAACTTCCTTCCAAGTCGACGTGTATTTGCCCGAGTGGCAGGGGACAAACAACAGCACACAAATAAGCCACTGGAGCGGATGTACGCGCAAAACTCGGCCCAGCCACAGAGCCAAAGTCCCAGTGGTCTTACAGTCGGTGAAGAGAGAACAAGACTAGCCAGTCTTGTTTGATGTGCTTACAAGTTTCTCAGGATAATCATGTAGTTCTTTAGATATCTACTTCTAGTTTTAAACACACACACGCATCACATTTTGTCTTAAGGGCGTCGGCATTTAAGTGCTCAGCGCCCCCCCCCTCCCCCGAGCCACATGTTGAAGTTAATTGGTCCTAACTCTCTGAGGGATTCCCCTGGTGGATTTTGTTGCCTTCTTTTGAGAGAATAAAAAAAGACAAGGCCACTGATCCAGGAACAAGTATGTCGTAAAAGGCCAATAATTAGCTGAATCATATGTGTTGAGCCACAAGAAATAGACATCGCAGCTGAGCTGCAAAGCACAACACAACCTAACAACCTCATTATAATTTCGAACAAAGAAGAGGAACCGATGGGTAATGGTGCAACAGTGACGGAACGTTAGTCTAAACTAACCAAATACTAATTCTGTGGTATCTATCCCTAACTGCAACTATACCACAAAAAAAAATAATAATTACAAATGATTAATACTTATTCTAATTGTTAGAGCCGGCAATTTTATCAAAAGCAAATAAACTTTCCAGATCAAAATTACTCCCGCTTGAACCTAGTTTCAGGTTTTCGCCCCAGATTATATCACCTGGTTCTGGAGAAGGCGGAGCCGGTGTGTTTAAACCACTACTTTCGCTTTCATTACTGCTCGTGTGCACTATATTATTATTATTATCATCAGCTGTCCACCAGTCAGGAGGCCTTATTGTTGTGCCCTGTACGGTCAGGTCTAGAGGATCGTTGGTTTGTATATCTAGAGGAAGATGTATTCCAAAGCCAGTCTGGGTCAAAAAGTCAAGCCCCAAATCGTCTGAATTCGTTTCGGAACTTGGCGGGCTCATGGTCAAGAAGGGCGAATTTTCACATTCATCCAACACGTCTTCGGTTTTGATGATCTTCCCGCCAATTTCAATATCTTGATTCAAAACCGCCGTCCAGTTTAAATCACCTTTCAAAGTCAGAGAGTTATCACCGTCGTCGTCATTTGAACCAAAGGCATCTACACAGTTACTACTCAACATTTTATCTTCTCCTGGACCATTCCTTAGATCCGAGGCACTAAAAATGTCATCGTCTTCCAGTTTCAACCTTTTGAAGCAAGGGGAGGGAATGGTGTCAAGGCTTGCTCGACGTTTTCTGAATACTTCCTTCTCGATCATATCGCTGTACTGGGGGTTGATTCTCCAGAAGCCGCCCTTGCCAGGCTCGTCTTTTCGGCGTGGAACCTTCTCGAAACATTTGTTCAGTGATAGGTTGTGACGTATGGAGTTCTGAAATAGACAATGTTGAAAATAGGATAGCGATTTCGAATGAACGCATGAAAAGCAGAGCTCTCTCTCACACATTCTCTCTCTCTATATATATATATATATATATATATATATATCTCTTTCTCTCTATCGTGCCAGTGTGTGTGGGCGCGCCAATATGTGTGTGTGTGCGCGCCAGTGTGTGTGGGCGTGTGAGTGTGTGTGGATGTGTTAGTGTGTGTGGACGTGCTAGGGTGTGTGAGCGTGCTAGTGTATGTGTGTGTGACAGTGTGTGTGTGTGTGCGTGACAGTGTGTGTGTGTGCGCGACAGTGTGTGTGTGGGTGCGTCAGTGTGTGTGGACGTGCTAGGGTGTGTGAGAGTGCTAGTGTGTGTGTGTGCGCCAGTTTATGTGTGTGCGTGACAGTGTGTGACAGTGTGTGTGTGGGTGTGTCAGTGTTTGTGGACGTGCTAGGGTGTGTGAGCGTGCTAGTGTGTGTGTGTATGAGTGACAGTGTGTGTGTGTGTGCGTGCTAGTGTGTGGGTGTGTCAATATGTGTGTGTGTGCGTGCTAGGGTGTGTGAGCGTGCTAGTGTGTGTTTGTGTGACAGTGTGTGTGTGCGTAACTGTGTGTCAGTGTGTGTGGATGTGCTAGGGTGTGTGAGCGTGCTAGTGTGTGCGAGCGCGCACACGCCTAAGCCACAGATGCTGACTGGGTGTATACTCTTAAATAAAACTAAGTTTTTGTTTTTGGCGCCCTTTTCAAGTGGCGCCCAGAAATTCTGCCCTACCTGCCTGCCGTACTTTAGAGGGAGGGGAGTGGTCTCGAGGTATGATGTCCGTCTCAAATGCTCAAGGTCCCGGATTCAAGCCCCGGTGAATGAAAGCTGGGATTTTTTTCACGTGGTCTTCTAGTAATTTGGAGTTGAAAATCTACTTTAAAAAGTATTTAAGGATCCTCGCCGGGGCAACGGAGTTTCTTCAAGAAAAGATAAAAAACAACGAAAAGTATATTAGATTATATGAGATTCTTCAGACTCAGGCTTGAGTTAGAAGTAGAACGGAGCACTTAGGGGTTACACCTATGTGCCATAATGTTGATCTGTCCAATAAATAAAGAAACAATAACTCTAGGGACGCCACTGGTAAACACTGAAAGCCACAATCGAGATCTCACCATGATCTCGCGAGGAGACAAGTGGAATCAACCAGCTTGACTCGACGGTGTATCCGTTAACAGAATCGATTGTCTTGCCTGGCACGATTGACGTGACCTGACCTGCGTACCAAAGCCGAAAAGTTTCTTACACGTTCCTGAACTCTCTGCATACCAGATACAGTTAGTTGCGTATCCTTTACAGGACGCTTTACAGAACCAACCTCAGCATTTTTGGGTTGTGGTTTTTCTAGGCAAATTTAAGTCCAGTAGTTTGCCTTTGCGTTCCATACCAGATAAGTAATGTTGTATTCCGCTCTTACCATGTGGGCCCCAGTTTGGTGGTGGCGAGGTTGCTGGGAATAAACGCATTGTACTTCTTCTTCTTCTTCTTCTTCTTCTTCTTCTTCTTCTTCTTCTTCTTTTGCCTTTCTAACCCCTAATGGAGCATAGGCCCCCAACCAACTAATGCCAAGTCGTTCTATTCTTCGCTAAAACATGCAGCTCTTTACAAGTCCTCAACCTTTTAACTTCACTCTCGAGCTCCTTTCTCAATGTGTGTGTGTGGGGGGGGGGGGTGTGGGGGGTGTATGTTTTGGTCTTCTTTTATTTCTACGCCCCTGTGGGTTCTAGTGCAAAAACATTCTAGTTATACTGTTTTATCAGGTTTTCTCAATGTGTGTCCTATCCAAAGCCAGCGTCTTTTCTTTCCCTCTTGGTCCACAGGAACTTGTTTAGTTCTCTCGTAAAGCTCTGCATTAGTCATTCTATCATACCACTTAATTCCCTCTATTCTGCGCAGGCACCAGTTAATGAATGTCTGTAATTTATTTCCCCCATCTTTATCTACATTACTGCCCAAATAGATAGATGTACGACTGCACGTCTTGGAGTGGAATACCATTAAGAAAAGCCATATTACTATTTGCTTGATGGATTCTCATTATCTTTGTCTTTCCCTTGTTGATTTTTAGACCTAGCTGTTGTCATCTCGCTACAAGTATATTTAATTGATCTTGCGTCTGATTCCGTGTGTGGGACAAAAGACAAATATCATCAGCCAAGTCCAGATCAGATCTACCCTCACCCCCCCCCCCCCTCACGACCGCCCATACCGTCCCCGCGCCGCACGGGAACGGGGGGGGGCGGTAGCGCCCACTTTGTAAAACACTGCCCGAAATTATACGCCTATTACAACACGTTTGTTAAGGGGAAGTGGGTCAATCCTCCCTCCCACCACCCCTTGCATAGGATCCCGGGACCTACATGGACAGCTTTATATATTTATTTATTCCTGGTTATGAGGGCAAAGTTAGGTACATGACAATCTACTGCGTTATGAACAAACTTCATTTGTCCAATGGATATACATTATAGTAAGATCTACTTAAGACACCTCACTGCCGGGTTCTATAGTCACATTCTGAAGGGAAGGAGAAAAAAAAAACCGCCCTTGCCAACCCCCCCCCCCCCCCTCCTTACTGCATGTCGTAAAAGGCGATTAATTATGAGTTTGCTGAAATCAGTGGGTCAGAAGGCCCAGATATCGGAACCTAGTTGTAAACCACAAGACATCGTGGTAACAGCCCGTCTAAGGGCGAACGCAGAACAAGAAGAATACTTCAGACATTATACACCACACGACTTGCCTGCCAGCTGGGATCGGAAAGGCGGTAGTACATGAAATTGTCGGTAATCCAGCTGTAGATAGATGCCAGCGTTATCTTGTGTTTTCTGGTGGCTTTCATGGCCATGCAGATCAAACTGGCGTAGGAATATGGCGGCTTGACGTAAGGGTTGGACTTGTGTTCTGTGATTGTAGGAGCGTTGCTGTAGATCGGCATGGGAACTACAGTCTGGAATGAGTAGTCTGGGTTTGAATCTTGAATGATGGTGAACGATGCCGAGGTGGTGTTGAATTCTGAAGGCAGAGAATTGGAGAAACTATTTAGTTTATCAAAATATAAGATCTCAGCAATTATTTAGTTGTTAGAATATTTTCTTCTTCTTTGTTCATCGACTGTAAGCTAAGGTGAAAAGTCCTGGCTGTTCGTTTATTTTGATTTTGGCTTTCTGCAAGGGCCTGAGTTTTGCGTGAACATCAGTTTCTCAGATCTGCCTACTCGTGTGCACACTGTTGTTTCCGCCACTCTCAGGCAGGTGCGCTCCCACTTTCCTGGAAAAATCTCTAATTAGTCCCCTGTTACCAATTGCTTGTTAGGGAGGCAGTAAGTCCGTTTTCTCACCCCCCCCCCCCCCCACATTAAAAAAATGAGGCATAACCCACACGAGGGCAATGAAATTTACAATGCCAGATTTTCCGGATTGTAATTTAAAAGGCCATGTATCTATAGATTTTTCTGCCTACTTCTCTGTTTGTTTTCTATCTATATGTCTGTCTGTCCAGCTCTTATCTGTAGGTTTTCCCAATACTAATGCAGTTCAAAAATCGTGTACTTTAAAAAAAATAATATACACAATAGAATATTTCTTCTTCTTCTTCTTTGTCCACCAGCTGAAAGTTCCTGGTTGTTCGTCCAGTTGGACTTTGTACCAGGGCCGGAGTTGTGTGTGTACACCCGTTTTACTATATTATCTGTAGGCAATAGGTTTGTTCTTGTCGCTCGGGTAGATGCACATGTATTTAAGTGATAATAAATTAAAGGACCATTTTCCACGCCTTTAGGCCGGTCGCCTTTACTTCCGAGGACTGTACCTGAACTCGATCAAGGCTGAGTCGACCTGGGAGCCAAGGTCATTTTGTTTAAGAAAAAACTACGGTACTTTTTTATTAGCCGACCACAAACAGGTGAAATCCACAGGTTACAGGACAGTCAAATATTTCAGGGGGTGGTAAATTAGACGTTTAGTTTTGGCTAGGGTTAATGTTACTGTTAGGGTTAGGTAAACGCGCGAAAACTTTGGCTTTGGAAGAAACGCGCCAAAGCAAAGAACCACGGAAAACCAGCTCTCGCCACCCCTCTAAAAAATTGGACTGTCCCGTGACGTCATTTGTGGTCGAAAAACAACAAGTCCGGCTCCACCAGGATCCGAACCCACAACTTTCTGATCCGCATTCGAGCGCCTAGCCACTACACCACGGTGGTCCAAGCGAGATAATAAAGGCGGCATTTAAAAATTATAGCAGAAATTATAAAAAGAGTACTGATAAAAATATCTACATTGTTTTTTGCTTCGTGTCTGGTTAGCTGTGACGTGCGAGATTATAGGTAAGGTAAGTTGTAACCCACCAGGACATTGCACAAGCGATAAACACCCGGTGACACAAAGTGCCACCACGCGAATGAGGATCACCCGTGGAGAGGTCCCAGAAACCCCTTTCAGCCGTTAGGCCATATCTATGCCCCGACTATATTCAGGACCCTCGGCAGAAGCCTGGGTGGGGCTTCAAATAACGATAAATTGCGTCCCACACAGGTATGACAGAGGTCCAATGTAAGTGTAAAAATACAAGGAACACAAGTCTGTGCGATTAAACGTGACAAACGCGGAACAAGAATAAAATTATTGTATTTACCTTCCTTTATAAAATTCCGGTTACTGTCCAGTCTAACACAGGCGACAGGTTTCTGTCTGGGTTGAGTGAACTCTGACACCTTCAGATTCTGAAGCCAGCCAAGGCTAGTCAGACTGTCATCCAAGTTTAGTCCACTGTGGCAAGTATCCTGTGGATGCCTGTCCATCCAGTTCTGTTGAAACCGGCGTGCCAAAATGGCAGATTGAGACATTTTGTTGCTGGAAATTGGCGGAAAGAGTCAACAAGCGAACAAAGCTGTATCTTCAGTTGAGAAGCTGGGACCACTAACAATGTCGTCTGCAACTGTCAGAGCTGACGTCTTGTGCTGCATCCTTCATTTGTTAGATAGTGTGGACCTGTGATGTACAGAAAACAAAAACAAAAACAGGAAATATCGTTTATTTTTAACGGAAATGGTTGTTTAATTGTATTGTTACGTCCAAGCTATTTACTGTCAATATATCTTTCTTGGAGAGCATACCTCGTTCTGCCAGCCCATACAAGGCATATACATGCAAGACATGTGAGGGAGACACAGAGAGAGAGAGAAAGAGAGAGAGAGAGAGGGGGGGGGGCGGAAATGCCGAAGCAGACCAAGAAGACTGTGGAAAGATAACGTCACAGAAACTCTACAACAGTATCAGATGTCTATGCTCAAGGTGATCAGAGAGCTATACACATGTATGTCCATTAACACCCGAAGTGGTGACAGAAAAACACAATCTCTAATACAGCTTGGACTTTTAGACTTTAATTGTGTTCCGTGTCATGTAGTGTGTTTTTTGTTTCTCTCATTTAGGCAATATTGTTTGTGCTTGCAGAAAATCTATTTGTTCAAAGGCCCCCACCCCCCCCCCCCCTCTTTGAGTGTGGGTGTGTGTGTGTGTGTGTGTGTGTGCGTGTGCGTGCGTGTCTTGGTAATACTTGCACAGTTTAGTGTCTTTATTGTACGTCTTTAGGATGCGGACTTTGCATTTTTATGCTCGAATAAATGCACTTCTTACTTGAATAAATATAGATTTCTTTTGTAATATGACAAAAAGACATCCCCTGAAAATTAGCAATAATGCGTATTTTATTTCTACTTTTATGAGAAAATAAATTAGGGTTACGTTTTCTTGGTAGTATTTATAACATGGCAGTCTATGTCAGGAATCGAACGGTGTCTGCATGATCCAAGGCCAACGCGATAACCTCCACGCTAGTATTTGCAAACATTTCATGTCTTTACTTTGGTGCTGATTTTCTGTGGGGAATGAACGATCGATTTGGGCACGAAGACAGGCAATCAATAATTCGCTATTGATTTGCCCAATAAAACGCCCCCCCCCCCCTTCTTTAGCTATATTTGTGTCCTCATTAAAAGAAATGTGAAAAAATCTGCTGTGAGGCATTGGGTTGGTTGCGTATCCTTTACAGGACGTTGCAGAGCCAACCCCAACAGCCCCTTGCTGTTGTGTGGTTTTTCTAGGCAAATTTACATCTAGTAGTTTGCCATTGTTTTCTAAACGGTCGGCTTTCTTGATACCACTGTCGAAACAAACACAAGGCGCATTGCCCGCAGCTGGAATCGAACCCGGCATCCCGGCATTACGGAGCGTTCTCATCGACTTAGCCACAGGCTGTGAGGCATTAGCCGTTACAATTACTATACTGGTGTGCCACGGGGATAGTTTTTTCCCCCAGTGATCTTGCCACCCACCCCCCCCCCCCCCCCCCCCCCCCAGCCTGAAATGTGTAGTAGGAAGATTCCTAAGAAATAGATGCCATGGGGGTTGTATTGACTACCGATGCCGGATGGCTGACACAAAGAAAACATTGGGAGAGATAAAACAGCGCCAACCCAGTATTATTATTATATTTCAGGGGTGGGGGCTAGTTATAAAGTAGTAATAATATTGCTTATCATCATCATCATAATTATTATTATTAGGTGCTAAATAGCAAATAAATATAATCCTGTACATGAAATAATATGAACAGCATCAACAAATGTTTAAAAAGAGAATTTCTACACATAGTCCCGGGGGGGGGGGGGAAGGGAGAGAGGTCACTCTATACAATTGCAAATATTCTAAGAGTGGATGGGATTGCTCAGCCCGAAGATCATCCCAAACGTTATTATGGGTTGAAGCTGAGCTCCCCTCCAGCTGGGGGGGGGGGGCATGTTGTTTGGGTCCCCTCTTACTGACGCCGCTGTGGAGCGTTTAAGCCGTATAACAAGATGTTTTGAATGTTTTTGACTGTATAGCATACATTTGTGTTTTGTCTTCTTTTTCTTCCTCTTCTTCTTCTTCTGCTTTTGCCCTTAAACAGCCCTTGGCACTTTGTGTTGTAGTTTGCAGCTTAGCTGTGTTATCTGTGCCTTTCAGGCCAACACATCTGATTTCAGCAAATCCTTAGTTAATCGCCTTTTACGACATGCTTGTTAAGGGGCAGTGTGCTTTATTCCAAGAAGAAAATCCAGCGCTGTGCGCCTACCACTGTTCTTGGTTTTCTGGTTGTGACTGTATCTTCTTGTTTCTCCCGCCATTTTTCTTACACATCTCATCTGACATGTTGTAACTTTGCACTTATATTTTCTAGAACTGTGTCTAACATTGACAGCACATTGTTGGCACGCATAACCCATTTATCAGTTATTGTGTGTGTGTGTGTGTGTTGATAATATTTTTTCCTTTTGCATTGTTTTCTATGTGTCTGTCCAATCCTTCATCCTCTATGAATAAACTTCCTAGGTACTTAGAACTCCTTTGCATGTTTTAATGTCTCTCCTTTAACAGCGGTTATAGGTGATATGTTTCTTCTTCTTCTTCTTCTTCATCGCGTTTACAAGCTGAATGCTCCGGTGGAAAGTTTTTTGGTATGTACAGACGTTTGGTTCCTTATCCCTCATGCAGATGTACTGATGTACTCCGACTTCAAAGAAAGTCTCTAATTAGTCGACTCCTATGACATGCTTCTCTTGTTTTCCCTCACAGTGCGGCACCAGAACGCACAGGGGAGGCGTTGAACTTGTGTTCTTATATTTACTATCAAGTATTTTGTGTCTTCGGTATTTATTTTGAGATTACATTTCTTGCAACAGGTGTTGAAGCTGTTTAATTATTTTTGTGATGTATACTTCAGATAGAAACAGCACTTACTTACCTCTCCCATATTGCAATGCTAGACATCGGTGCTGTACTGGCATATTTCACACATGGACTTGGTCTCTGGTCTGAAGCACACGACTTGCCAGGTATTTAACTCACAAATGACTGCGTTGTTTCTTTGCCCGAACTTGTCTGAACTAGTTAACAGCTGCGCTAATTATGACATAAAACCATTTTTAATTTATTTGGCTCACTGGTTAAAGCTCAGACGTGATCTCAGATGTAACAAGGCACGCTATAATTTATAAGAAATCAGTCGCAATACCGCACACACCAGTAACGTTAATTACTGAACCTACAGCGGCAATATGCGATACACGACAGCACACGTTTTGGCATAAGGGTACCCGGCGGGGTTTTTGGGCGTTATTCTCGTTAGAACGTACAGGTCCATAACCTCTTATAGGCTTTTGTGTGTAGACGCGAATTTGACACAAGTGCGGTCTTGTCGCGGCCGGCAACAGAGTAAACTCAAGTAAATATCGACTCGCCAGTGATTGGTTCAGATCGGGGGTTGTTTTTACTACGAGCCATTGGCAGCAAGCACAACATTATTGCGAACCTACACACACACCTGGGCTAACTCGATTACTTTAAATCGACAAACAAATGAATTCCTTTTCGATCACTACAATAGGGAATCCACAATAATCGTTGCGTAAATTCAGTAGGGACCCGAAAGCAATTAGGAATATCGTTTGAAGATATCATTAATCTAATATTGTTATATTATGTTCTTTCAAGCAAGTTCATTACTATTTTATATTATTGAAAAAAAAAAAACTTGCATCCATTTTGATAGCACTGTCTGTTTATATTTAAAAACGCAAATTTAACTGACTACCTGGTCATTGGTAGGGACATTACTACTCAAAATAAGCTCACTGGTATTGTATTTTATAGCGGGGTACAATATGGTGGAAGCTGGAAGTAATAGCAAGGGCGCCCACACAAAGAACACTTTGGGAAGGGGAGGTGAGCTCAAAGAACCTTCTTTGAGTGCTCAATAATAAGTTTTTTTTTTTTTTTTTTTTTTTTTTTGATAACAATAACAGCACCCTACCCCGAAAGCTGGGGTATTTTGACTATGTTGAATATCGTGGTAAAAGTATAGTTAAGGTTCCTTTACCACGCCTTTCAGGCGTATTAGGAATATAGGACTAGACCTACATTTTATAGACCAAACGGCACTTGGTGGGGTGTGTGGTCAGCTTTACTTCCCAGCACTGAATGGTACCCATTCAAAAGTGCCCGGCCCTCGTCAGGAACCGAACCGACGACCTTCCGATCCGCAGACCAGCGTCTAGCCGCTAGACCACGATGGCTTCTTTGTGATCGTGGTGGCCTGGATACAACGGCAATGGAGAGTGTACATTTTCTAGAAACAGACGAAAAAGCAACCGCTGTGAAGGTGGATACAAGGCATTGAAGACCGAAGATACATGAAAGCATCTAGGGCTAGACAACTAGCTAGAGAAACACAGACCTTTAGGAATGATGTGAAGAGAGCGACGTTCTGTAAAACACAGGCGACTGCTGCTGATGATCATATAAACAATATAAACTAACTAGCACTGTGTTTTATGTAAGGGTTACCAGATGGAAGCAGCAGACCTTAACACAAGCCAAGGGCGGGTAACTTGATTTCAGGTTTTAAACTCAAAACAGGAGCGCCGAACCTCGGTCTTGAACCCATTCAAAACTTTGTAAAGTTTTGATTTATATAACTCTCTTTATTTTAGATATTATTTTATATTATTAATTTTTGTTTGACACATCATCATCACCATCATTAACACTGTCTCTAGAGCGCCCCTTAAAACATTTTTTAAAGAGCTTTAGGGGCACCATAATGGAGCAGTCATTCATTGCAAAGCTGGTCATGCGTCTTAGTACACTTGATCCTGCAGCGAGGCGATACCGTCATTTGGAGGTGACAGCTGGGTCTCCGGCATAGACGCCATAGCTTTTGATGTATATGTTGTTTATTGCGTCCTTCTGTCTTTCTACTTTTTTCTATGATTACTGATCAATACATATCTATTTGTTTATTGTG